ACGAATATAAGGTCGAAACGAAGGCTCATTCGTCCAAATGGAAGCTTTCTGAATAGCCAAGACCAAAAGAGCATGTCAAATTCGATCAATTTGAAGGTTTTGCTCATGGATTTCATGGATTTCAGCGTAGTGCATCATGTCTTGCCACCTAGTCGTGGAGTCAATAAGGAGCGCTACTTCACGCCGTATACGTGAATCTCTCCGAAAAAAACAACAACATCCGGATTGATGGCGAAACAGTTCATGGCAGTTACATCACGATAAAGCACGTGCTCACACTTCATGGCTAGTTAGTCAATTTTTAGTAAAAAAAACAACATCATTTTGATTCCTCAGCCTCCGTGCGAACATGGCGCCTTGAAATTCATTCTATTCCCAAAGCTTAAGAAATCCTTGAAAGGAAGAGTTGTTACCAAAACTGAAGAAATAAAAGCAGAATCGCTGAAGGAACTAAATACCACAAAAGCTGGCACAAATGTATTATATCTTAAGGGTGTATTTTGAAAAGGACAAAATCAATATTGATTATAAATAACTAAATAAAAATTCTTAAACAAAAACTAAGTTTCGGCGTACTTAGTAATCGTAACATAAGATTTGATACTAGAGATGCTAGTGAGTAACTGAGTCCCGATTAACCGAAGATTTATTAGAAAAAACAACAGAATAATTAATTGCAAAACGATCGATGCCGTTATCAATTTTAAGAATATTGGGACTTTCCTCAATTTTGTATTCAAATTTTTAGTTGTACGAGGAAGGCAAAAAACGTTTACACTTTTTGAAAATTCAAATTGACAGTGATAAATGTCGTCTATATAAATACATTTCACTCTATTCTTACAAAAAATGTTTAAAAAATCGGAGTAGTTTTTGAGAAAATTTTGAAAAGTTACAGTGGCACCGTATAAATACCCCCAAAATTCAAAGAATTATTTTCAAAATCGCAGAACTTCGAGTCGGGTAAGATCGATCTGGGAATATTCCTTTATGAAAAGCAAAATTTTGTTCGGTATCAGGGACCACAAAACATGTATTTCGTTAAAATCTCGAAGTAGATTTTCCGCATCATTACATAACTTTCTCTATTCTATTCTATGTATATTATTGGGCATATATATATATATACATATGTAAACGAGGAAATAACAACAGTAAGAATTGATGTATGTGTACATGCAGTTTAGAGTAGAAGTGTAATCTGCACACAGTTTGTTGAGATTCGAAGTTCGTCGACCACCTTTTAATTCACATAGTTTAGGGAATTAATAAAGCAGATATTACGCTCAACCTACTCGTTAACAAATTACACCAGATGGCATTGGGTTTAATTTGTCTATTTCAGGAGATTATAAAAAATTCGGCAATATGGTTTTAATTACGCGTAACTGTATCCTCCGTTGTCTCACAAATGATCTTTTCATTTTAATCATTTATTGATAACTACGCTTATCGTCTCGGGTAGATAAAAGCACTCTTAAAAATCACTACCTGCAGGTCTGCCAGCAAGGTGAGTTGGGATGACTAACATATGAATCAGAAACTTAAGTCATCATTTGCTAATGTTTGCTGCGCTAAACGGTGTTTGCAGAACGTGATGTTATAAATATTAATGATATTGAGAGTAATGTTTGGGATAATCTATTTTCTGTACCGAGATAGAATAATTTTTCGTACTTTTTTCTCTCTCGCCCTTCTACGTTTACGTAGTAAACAGAAAAATAGTAATATTGCGGCGGAAAGTGGCAATTTTTTGACAGAAAAACTCATTTTGTGGGGTATTAATAGCGGAAAAGTAGATAAATATTTTTCATAAAAGTAATAAATTATTTTCTCTATTACCTTGTAGACAGAATTCACATTTTTTGGCTCTTTGATACCAAAAAATCGATTGCCTATAAAACGTCTGACTGATTATTTCGTATTTCTGGATGCTTCAAATGCTATGATTTCATTGATCAACAAGATTTTTGTCTCACGAGTACCTATAGGTGTACTTAATGCAGTTTTAAATCTGGTTTTCAAACATGAATTCGGAATTTTTCCATTACCCACAGCTTTTTATTTTATTTTTTTAAATATTTGTAAACACTTTTTCGTCCATTTCCCCATTGTCAATTGAAATCTCCTTAAACATAGTAAAGATGATGGAACCAAATGAGCTAACTCAAATGGGGGCGTTGCCACTGTTGTACCGGTTCAGACACATGTAATCATGTACAAACGTGATTTAGAGTAACACATTCATCAGAACTCTGTCAGATATTTCTGAAACAGTGAACACGTCAATGTGAGTGCTTTGTGTGCCTAAAAGATTGTGATGTTATATTTACATACTAGAGGAACCCGGAAGACATTGTCCTCCCACAATCTCTCTTTCTTCTCCCTTTCCCTTTCTCTCTCCATCTCTCTCACCGTCCCTGTTCCTCTCCGTCTCCGTCTTTCCGTGTCTTTCTGTCTCTCTCCGTGCCTCTCTCACTATCCTCGTCTCTTTCTCCGTCTTTCTCTCCGTCTCTCCCTCTGTCTGTCTCTCTCTCTTTGTTTCTCTGCGTCTCTGCCTGTATCTGTCTGTCTCCCTCTGTATCAGTCTTTTCCGGGCGGAATTTCACAATTTCAGGGGCAGAATATGCAATAAAGACGCTCTTAATACTCGTGCTTCAGGATGCGGCGGGTTGCGAAAAGCGCCGTTGCGTAGAGCGGCTTTTTCAGAGGTGCTTGTGTCAGCATAAAATCATCATCAACACGGTTTTGATACAGTTGCATCAACTTTCCTCAGAATGTTGTCAGGTTATATTACTAATTTAACATGAACTTGACCGGAAACACATGTGTCGTGACATGGAGTGGCTGTAGCGCGTGGTTCATTCAATTCAACCAGCCCTCATTCATTTACGTTTGGGCTTTGGCGCAACTCACAATTGTCTCACGATGGACCCACGTGCTCCAGCAACTCCATGTGGAGTTGGGTGTGGAGGCTTGGAATGAGACGGTACCAGTATGATTATCAATAAGGTGTATACTTCCTATATACTTTTGGTGTTTTATTTATCCTAGTTTAGAATTTTAAATATTTTTTGTTTATTTGTGTTAATTATTCCACAATAAATTTATTGTAATGTATGTTGTTCTCATTCACTGTTCATTGTTTACACTGAAGCCCTGAGAGAGAAATTATATATTTCGAAATGTTGGCGTAACTAATTGTTTCTCTATCCATATTGAACAATCCCGTGAACCTATTTTAATTCTTTATTGTATGGTAAGTTTGGCTCCAAATAATTTGTTATACATTTTAGATTCTAAAATAGTATTACAAAATTTGTATTTATTGAAATTTTATGTATGTTTTGAGCAACAGAAATGAAGTTCATTGTGAGTATTTTGCTCAATTTGACATGTGCAAAAAATTCTAATAGGTATGTGTGGAAGTATATCCAAAAACTGAATAAAAGCTTATATCTTTTTTGTTTTCTTTTGTTAAGAGTCCTTGAGAGGTCACTTTTGAAATTATTTGTTCACGAATTATTTGTTATTTCATTTTAATTCTTCTATACTTTCTCTATACATGTTCATGCCTTTTTAATTATTTTTTTAATAGAAACATGCAAGAGCTAGTTTATTTTTCTTGTATTTGTAATATTACACTGTAATTATTTAAATGGAAAGTGACCATTGTACATAATGTTAATGTGCAGATGGAACTTAAGGTTGATGTGTAGATAGCTCACTTGATGTACAGTGACACTATATGCACGTAATTTGTCTCAAAATGTTTGCTAAATTCACAGTTTGACCAATGTGACTTTCTTCTGACCATGTTCTAATTCGGTGTTCTCTACTGCTTTAACTGCCTCATGTTCATTGTGATTTATTGTTTTGGTAATTGGGAATGTTTTTTGTAATTGAGGTAATATTCATTTGGTTTTATTTTCATAGACGAAATATGAGAATGTTTATCGACTGGGGGCAAAAAAATGTATATTTTTAGAAAACGTAAATGAAGGGTGCTGATTTATTTATAATGAAAAGAGAAAATTAGTAGAACAATGTAAATTGATAAAGTGGAGAATGTCTGTCATCATAGGTAGGCTTCAAAGCAAAACACGAGTGCGGGAATGCTGCCAATGGCCAAAAAATCCCCAAAAAATAACCCATACGATACAGTAATTGTTCAAACGTAAAAGTTCATATTGACGGAAACGATATAAATTTAAAAAATTAGATCTTCAAAATATATTTTGCTAGCGAAATGGCGCTATGATTAGTGCTCTCCACCGTTGAACCAAACTTTACTTCGATTATATTGCTGGCCTAATCGAAGTGTACATATACGCGTCCGTATATTTGTGGGGGTGGGACTGGTTTCGCATTTCTGAGCAAGTTTCATATTGTGTCCATAATTCATTTTTTTGTGTACATTTTTATTTCATTCCTCTTAATTACCATGCTATTCAATTACTATTATAGCAAATTAAGAATGCTGTATTCGGAAAGAGAAAATTTGTGTTCATAATTCATTTTCATCATATTTTCATTTGTTTCGTTTTAACTGTCATAGTACGCTATTACTAATTATCAAATGAAGAATGCTGTATTCGGATAGTGAAAACTGGAACCTTACGCAGCGCCATCACATTTCGAGTTTATAAAATGACAAATAATTCAAATAACATAGAATCAAACATCACGAGTAATTTGGATCACGTAGACGCTGCATAGAATTAAAGAATTTTTGGCAGAATATTATTTTAATTCAACATATACATCTTTTAATGGTTTTATATTATATAATAATTACAATGTCTTCTTAGCGACCAACCTTACTTATCCAGACGTAAACAATCTTCGGTTACATACTCTATTCTAATGCTATTCTTCTATTCTAAATAATCTAAATTCAATATAGTACATTAAAATATATTGTTTTTATTTTGATTTTGTTCGTGTTTTAAATTGTTTGAATTATTTTCATTATGATGTGTGGTTTATTATTTTTGCAGATTCCATTTTGCCGATTATCAACGGCGCCTTCATTATCAATATGGGTTCTATAGTAACGAAAAGCATGGAGCAAAGTTTCCGCAAAAATCAAGAACTAATGATCGAAATGAACAAAATTGCGGTGAGAAACTCATTTTTACTTCGTAGAGCGAATTTTATAAACATATTTTGCATGTAACGAGCATATTTTTTTCATTTTTTTATTACTGAAATTATTTTTTTACTTTCTGACCTAATTTTCAGTAACTGTAATTGTCAGGACCTAATTTTTAGTAATTTTAAATATTCCTTTGTAGATTGATATGAGAGCACACCAAAAGTTAATCGAATGAATACCTATTAAAATAAATTTCATAGCGTCTGATTTATTATTTTCATTAACTGTACAGTAAGCTTCTTTATACCCGGTGTTTTTGGTTCTACGTTCTGGAGGAAGGACAAATATTTTTGTGGAATTACTCACTCGAACGCCCTTATATTACTGCTTATATACTCTCTGTTACTGCCTTGCATCTTAAGTAAGTAGAGGGAGGGGTTTTCTCAAATTACTAATTTAAACCGACTTATTGCCAGTTGAAATCTAAACGGACAAATGTATTGATATGCTCTTTGAACTACGGAATTTCATATAACTGTATTTTACATGGTGCTAAGGAGTGATTATTATTTTGACTCTTTTAGTAATTTTGATTTTTTCCATTCGCACAATAGTAATATTTTATTTACATTATATGTGTACCCATTCATTCAACCCATTTATCCTCACTGCACGACACTTTTCTTGTGTTCGCCTCGGCATTAACTTCAGTGAAATCATCCGTGGCGCTCAGGCCTGTTGGGGACGTGGCAGGCTGGGCGCGTAGCGTCAACGTACTTTTCCCCTTAATAATTTTGTACAAAGAAATAAGCTGTCAACTTCCTAACATTTACTTTCTTCTACTTTATTTGCAATACATGTGTCTGTTTCTAGTGGGCGCAACTGATGCTGTAACGTTTTTCTTTCATTCTGAGATTCAATGACTTCCACGATTTTATTTGCACGTACGTTTGTAGCATGTGACGTAATCGGGGAGCTTGGTCTTCTTCCAGACGGCTTCACTGACGACCTTTCCTCTGAATCATCCAAACTTCAGTTATTTAATTTCACCATCTCTTCACACACTGCTCAGGTGGCTGACACATGCCTTTCTACTCTATCTTCTAACTTACATTAATTTCCACTTACATTAATCTTCCACTTACAATAATTCTCTCTTAATATAACAATTAATAACAATTAATCTTCCACTTACATTAATTCTCTCTTCACATAACTCTACTGATTACTGAGGCATTTCTTCTTTACTTTCTAAACTAGTCACATCTACATATACTTCATATTGTTATATACTTCAAGGTTATCCGTATCATTTACTAGTAAAATTTGAGCTATGCCTTCGTTTACCGTTTACCGTAGGAATTACAATTACCGTGTTGTCATCGACGAGTATCTCTGAACCATCCCATGTATCAACTCTTATCGCCGTTTTCGACACTGAGAACGGTTTAACCTTATTTTTGCTCATAATTTCTCCGCATTGAATCCTGCTTGCCGTCAACGCCTCTGCGTCGGCATGGGGTGCTACGTAAAGGGCCTCTGCTGAATCACCACTGTCCACGTTTCCGCTTGTAACCGTGAGCCGTTGTAATCGTGTGCCGCTTGTAACCGGCAGCCAAACGTTCCTCATTAACATGTGGCCTTCTTATCAACTTGTAATCGCCTTCTAGCAACTAGAATGGGGCCGTCATCTGAGCCTTGCGTACATACATTCACACACTCACCAACATTCATGCAAAACACAGGCCGTACCCATTCACTACTTTCAAGTAATTGTCCACCGGAAACTGTGCTACACAACATATACGAGCTACTTTTCGACTTTGATTTCTCTTCGGCCTGTACTACTAGTGTTCCATTGTCATAATCAATATCTTCTACGACCTTACTATTATTTTGTTTTGGCGAAGAAATTATTGGCAACATTGGCTCTGGAAGCCTATCTACAACTTCATTATCTAACTCTAACACGTTTTATGACGTTTTGGCCCTAAACGTGCTGGCAATGTGGGTTTTGTCAGCCTTTTTCCGACTTCTCTATTTAAATTCGAAAAAATTACAAAGAATTTATTGGTTCCTTATTCCGCGCTATTTCAGGTGACTCGGGTATTTGAAGTTTTTCAATTTCTTTAATTTCTAGTGAACTTAAAAAATCTAAGATGTCTTTGTGTGTTACCCTTTTTACAATGTTTCGGGTTTTGCGCTCCTATTCTGTTCAAATTGTTACTGGTTTCTCCCCTTACGTATCCTCTCCATATGTCTTATGTCTCCGCGGCTTCTGGACAGAAATTTCTCTTTCCGGTATTATTTGTTCTATCCGTTACTGTACCCAAGTTCGCGCAGTGCTTTTGGGCTACCACCATTTTCTCAGTTTTCAGCCTTATTGCACAACCCTGCAGCTTAAGAAAATTCAATCCCAGAATCCCATCGAAGTTGTCCTTCCCAATTCTGCGATCGGAAAATCTTGGGTATACTCATCATAGTCGATTTTATACTTTACCGGGCATTCCCCGTTAATTTTAAGCGGATGTCCTGACGAACTTAATACATTATTATAATGTTTTGTTTATGTTTTGTCTTTACAAATACGTCCGCGTTTAGTACACTACAACGAACTCCCGTATCTACTAAAAGGGTAAACCTTTTATTAAGTACTTGCATTTCTGCCCTTAAACCGGGCTCTGGGTTAACTGTTAGAATTACTACATTCCCGCACCTCTCGGGCGGGACCATTCGAGATTTTTAGTGAACTATCGGGATCCATCGTTCTGTGCCCTGTTTTTCATCAAAAACCGCAAATGGTTACGGGGCTCTTATACGCCGAATGGGATGTGTCGCCGCAGCTAAAACATTCCCTCTTCCTGGAAGGATAGCGTCTGCTCACATGCCCTCGACTCCCGCAGGAATTGCAAGTTACGTATTTTGACTGCGTCTGATTGGCGAAACGCTGCGTCTGCTGTTCGCCCAGCGGTGGTAGTTGACTGGAACCCCAAACACGTCGCTGTTCCTAGGGTATTCGTTTGGTGGGGAGTGCGGAAGCGCGGATCCGCGGATCCCAAATAGAAAGTGGTGAATAGGCGGCGCTTGAGGGCGACATGGGGCTGGCGTGCGCCTAGCAGCGGGGGTAGAAGAGTGGTTAGAGCAGTTATTTCCGAGGTGTTTCATTTGGCGTGGGTGTGCCGGTGAAAGCCGCAGCGTAGCAACACCGAGATACTTCGCTGTCATTTTGCAGGTAATTGGCAGTTGCGTGCCTGCCCAGCTCACTTCATCGGTGTCGGCTCTCTCTCGAGTGAAGTTGACGGCTATGTTGTTGTTGTTGTTGTTGTTGTTGTTTGTTGTTGTTGTCAATGTTGTTGTTTGTTGTTGTTGTTGTTGTTGTTGTCAATATTGTTGTCAATGTTGAGAGTGAGCTTTTTATGGCTCGGCCATTCGGGACGCTCGGCGAGGCAGTTGTTCAGCTATCTCACCGATATCCTTCTGTCCGCAGACTTCGCTTATTAAGTCAAGAACATTTAAGAGCGAACAATAAGAGCCACAATGTTGAATGCAGGTATTTGTTTCTACTGGTAGCGGCGCGTGCCTTCTATCATGCCGAAAAGCATCGGGGAAACTCTTCTGCCCTGCGATACGCACACAAGGTTCGTCCTAAGGACGATTTCACGCCATTGACGCGAACCTTCAATTGTCTACTGCCAAGAAACTAGCGGTTAATCTGTCGTAAGGCTGATTCCGCTATCCATATGTCAGCGCGAGCATTCCCTCGTGCCAAAGAGACTCGAATGTCGGCACTCATAAATTCTACTGAAAAGAGACAAATCTCCGTACAGACCCTCGTTATCGGTTGCACGGAGATCAGACAATTGAATTAGTGATTTTAAAAGGGAAATAAGTCCATTTTTCCTAAAACGCGTTGAGATATACATTTTCTTCGTTATTCTTCACTTACATATTAGTATATAATCGAAACTTGTCCAGCTTACAATGTGTGCTCTATTTCCAACTAAACATTCTCATGATTGTGAAAGAGAAACAAGTCCATGACTAGTTTCTCAAATATACTCATAGATGTCACTGAGCAATTTCTGGTTTCATTGCATGATCAGTGTTAAACGTCTACAGGACGATTCAGTCCTCATTGCTAATACTTCGCAGCCATATCCCATACGTAATGCACAGACCGAACGTGCCAAGTTGTGGATATTCCTCGTCGTTTAGATTTGTAAATAATTAATGTTACACTTTGGACTATGCGTTTGCGCTTGTGCTTGTGTAACACGGGCTCTGGTAAGTGAGCAAGCGGCTGCACCTCGTCTTGCCACTTTTCTGGAAAACTCAGTTATTACTACTACTCGCTAAGCCCCGGAAGCGAGCGCATGGCAAACAGCGCGCGAGTTCAACGCATCACAGTCCGTCACCTGGTAACAATTCACGGGTGCACCGGGTGCAATATCTGTGAGGACATCAGACACCGATCAGAGCGCCAATTGAGCGCTCCTGAATTTCAGAATGATTTCATATACATCGATATTGTTGCAATATCTTGAATATTGAATGTCATTAAAACGATAATGTATATTTCTAACATATTATAAAATCTTTTTCGATTAGCTGCGGGTTGTGCAACCGTACAACTTAAGCACGAGCCGCCACTACACTGAGCAACGGACAGATTGGTGCCACTGCATTTCATTGCGGAATTGCGTCGCTGGCAATAAACTCTTCTGTAAAATGTGAGCCCCTATCTGTATGTACTTGTACTTTTCGTGCATTCGAAGTGGTAGGGTCAGCTCTGATTTCCCACAGCAGTGCGCTTCAATACACGTTCGACGGCAAAACAAACGCCCAGGCGGTCTCTTATGGCCTAAGTCGAGCTTCCGAGTCATCAGAGTTGAGTCCGAATCAAAAAAGTTTCCTATACTCTGATTTAAACATAGTGGAACTATATGGTTAAGAGCTAGAAGGCGAGGAGGACATTGTCATCCAATCACGAGCTCCAATACCAAAAATATATCTTAATGAAATCCCGATTGGATTACATAGTCCCTCTCTGTCCAGCTCGTGAACTTGAAGTGCCACTGCGTTTAAACAGTCGCTCTTTGGGCACCAAGATCACGCGAGTTTCGATCTCGATCCCTTCCCATACGTCGACGTTCTGCGAGAGGGCAAGTTATCCATCAATGACGTTGCGCCTTTAAATTTCGAAATTTAGCGCCTTCCCGAGCCGTTGGCGACGATGGTGCGCGTCGCTTCGCTGTCAAATCTGGCAGGTGGGCCACGCCGCCCGGCATTGAGAACTGGCGCAGAGGCGGCCCCTCACATGCGTTGTATAACCCCCCCCCCCTTAACTCGGCGAAAGTGCACGATTCCTAGACAATTTGCTTTTGACCATAGCTCAACATTTTAAATAAAATATCCCCTATTGGCGCGGTGAAATAGCTTCGCGTGGCCGGTTATATTGCTCTATATTCTAGTACTTCTTCTGCTTTCCCGCAAATGTCACATGCAGTTTTTAACTGATTTGTGATTTTAAATAACTAAATTAAAAAATTATCTCTTTGCTTTGAATATTGAATTCGGTTCCTGATGTTCTTAACCTGATGTATTGTCTTTGCGCATTCCGTATTAATTATCTCTTGTATGCCTCTGAAATAAATAATTATTTTAACAAAAATACCCTATATTAACCCTGTGTATATATATGTATATGTATATACACACACACACACACACACACACACACACACACACACACACACACACATATATATATATATATATATATATATATATATATAACGTCGTGTTTAGCGACGGCGGCGTAGGTGAACAAAATACGGAATTCTGACCGGGAGCTGCTGTCAACAAGGGCAAGGGCATGGTGGAGGCGCCGCTAGGACTAGCCTGCTTGTGACCAGCGCAGAAAATAACCTTAGGGTGTGGCTACATCCCCTGTTCTACCCTTCTACTTCGCAATTTTGATTACGCTAAGCCGAACGCTGCCCGACCGCTCTTCCTATGGCAAGCTTGCACAGATCTACTAACATTTGTTCTAACTTTACCGATGAATTTGACACATGCTAGAAACTATGAGCTGGGATATTAAGGTGGTATAGAAGAATTACTTTTGACTGGTCACAAGGTCGTTTACTCTATGAAATGGAATTATGATGCAGTTTAGTGCCGAAACGATTACCGGAAAACATGCACTCGGTAACGGCGTTGCAAAATACTCGTACATCCTTTCACAAACTCCGTAACCCCCCCCCCCCCATGACCCCCTTCGTACCCAATTGCCTTATCCTCTGAACCTAATCCTTGTACTACATCTCCCATTATTCTCCCCCTCTCCATCTGAGGTGGGCGCCTCACCCACTGTTACTACTGTTGGCACGCGATACGCAACACGCGATTTGACCACACACTCGGGGTAAAAATTAATAAACAGCAACTACCGTCCATACACCGGAACAATATTGCGTGTAGGTATATGCACAATGTTCTAATAATGCACCATAATATTCAATCTCCTTCAAATAAATTTGAATTTATCGAGACGGCGACCTAGTAAGTCAAACCGATATTTTTGCTATGCAGAACATTGGTTCCCTCATAATGAACTGCACCTTCCCTAAGTTCCTAGATCTTATCTTGAAGGATGCTTTTGCAAAGCGAAGAAATCAAATATGGGCCCTGCATATGGAGTTTTGTGTATTTAGGTAAAAAATGATATCAATCTCGTCAGAATTCTGTTTATATGTACACTGTCAGAAATTTCTGCATTACTTTTAATGTAAAAGTGTATGAAATTAATTAAATGTACAGTACATGTACAGTAACTTTATAGTACGTGAACATTATATTTAGTGTACGTGTACAATTAAATTTAATGTAGTAGTAGTATCATCAATAGAACTCTTTTATAGCCCTTGGTGCATAAATAATCATTAACTTCTATATCAAATATTATTTAATTAATTTTATCAATAATTTATTTATATTGTTTATTTATTAATTATGGAAGAATAAATAAATATTTTATTTTTATGAATACACAAACATTTATTTTCTCAAAAATGCAAAACTATCAGCACTTGAGAAGTGAAAAATTCACAACATATTACAAAGTACACTTGGTTGAATTTTGTCCCTCTTTTTGACTAATTTAAAACCTGCAGAATCAATTTTTTCCACCTTCTTTTTGAGACCTTTTATTTCCTTCTGTTGGATTTATTTTCATAATTTCCCTGAAAGTAATAATTTTATTATTAATAAATAATATTTATTCAGCATTACCTTTTTACACAGTTAAACAAGTACCAATAAAAATAATTAACAGAGGCAATGGAATTGCTTGTACATAGAAACTGAGTACAAAAGCAGAAAGATACACAATGGAAGAACAAAATGAGAAAGAAAATCGATTTAATGTGAAACAAACTATTAGTAATATTATTACTAGATTGTAATATAATTATATAACGTTACCTTTCTTTGGTCAATCTAGAAATTACTGAATCAGAAAAAAACATTTGGTTCAAAGGGATACAATCCATTCTCTATTTAACAATACCCATTTTAACACTGTGTTCTTTAATGCAATTTTACTGTTACTTAAAACTGAGGCCAATTGCCTATTAATTAAAAATTCTTAAGGATGTAATGTAGCAATTGTATCTCAAATGTTCTATCGATAGTAATACGTTATTTAATGATATATTATTTTTAATTTAGTACGTAAAAGTAATACAACTCCAACTTCGTATGAATCCGAGAGTTGTTTCTTATTTTGCTGAATAGGTATATCCAAAAACGTAATAGATGGCAATTATCGCACTTTCAATAACGTCTTTACAAAATAGCAGAACGTTTTGTTCCAGGATTACAGTTATTTAGTTTGGATTTACTATGTCACATTCTTTTCCTATTCTTCAATTCATTGTCTTAATTTGTTTGGTCATTCTTATATTTAGACAGTCACTTGCAATCTGCAACACATATCGATCAATAGGTGCAGATTAACAAATTTCACATTTCATGAAAATAATATTAAATAATGTTAATAATGAAAATAATATTAAATAAATAAGACTAATTCATATTAATCCGATTATACTTTGACAAATTCAATATGCCTGAATTGCTTCAGTTTCTCTTGATGTTAACCGCCAACCGCTCTAGAAATCTGCTGCGATGAGAACAGGAAATGAATAATAACTTTCATAAGTTTCACACGCTTTCATATCAGAATGTTATGATGTTTCGTTGATTTTAGCACGACGAGTCCCCACGCCAGGCAAACGTTTCAAAAATAGCACAACGGAGATCGGCGAATGTTCAAATACAATATTAAACTAAATGATTTTTTGAAAAAAATAATGAGTTATTGTACAGAATAAAATATGAAGCGCAAATAAAAATTATATTTTAAATTTATTATGCGTTCGTTAAAATAGTGGAATAAAATATTTCTAAGTTTTTAAACAGTAACCATGTTCTATAATTATATATCAAATATGCGTGAATTTTAATTTAAACATTAAATTTAATGTACGAATTCAATAATCTCCATTTAATGTACAAAGTACATTGTGTTTCATGTACAGTCGTACATTACATCTACATCGATTTTAATTTAAGCACTAGATTTAATGTAAAGATACATTAATATCCTTTTAATGTGCACAGTGCAATAAAATTAATGTACAGTCGTACATTAATCCATATTAAATTTAATGTAATTTCTGATAGTGTAGTTGAAAATGTTTTGAAATAACGGACGTACATCTCACTACGCTCAAATTTACCGTACTTTGCATCTTCCACAAAGCGGGCTTTACATTACTTCAGTTTTTTAATATCAAAATTAGTAATGACTCTTTTGAATCCATTTTGTATGTGGAGATTATCAAATTTTCTAGGTGGATCTTACGATAAAAGAAATTTCTCAATTCCCTTCATTGTTTTCGATATTGTGCTACATCCCCAGATGCCATATTCTATTCGAATGTACTACATTCCCATCTGAGGTATTGTGGTGTAGTTTTTCCTAAACTCACAATCTTAAATTCCAGAAAAACAGCTTGTCTTACAATTGCCTTGTGTATTTATTTACGAATTTAGTAGTTTTTTTTCTCAAAATTGACTAACGTAACGGTGGAAGCATATTTTCATGTAATACTGATGTTTATAATTACAACGGCCATCGTGGAAATTCATCAGGGGTCGGAATGCACAGCTCACTAAAATAAACCTATGTAAAATACATACACGTTACTTTACAGCACCAGATGACCAGAAACGTTACTCTTAAATACCAGAAATGGCCAGATGACATTTTACAATTAAAATCGATACACAAGATATAGTTCGAAGTAAATTATTTTCTACTGCTTTTCTGTGGGCGCTATATATACAATTGCAGATTGTAAGTGAAAACTGCGCTAAGTGCCGAATTGGAATTCCGAGATAATTAAAAAAACTGTTTCAAAAACTCACGAGACTTGACTGATGCGCAGTCTAGTGCACAACATTTTGTCCTCGAATGTATCAAGGGGCGGTAAAGTTATTGTGTTCAATTTTCTGCGAACTCTCCGTATTTTCGAAAATGTCAAAAATTGCTTGTTGGAAATAGTGTTTTGACAATTACGTTTTTAAGCGTCGGCCTGAGTTCGAACTTCACCGTTTTTCTGTAGCGTAGTGGCATGGCTGACGGCACGTTAACTTACAGAACCTGAGTTCGTGTCTCGATGTGGAAAATATTTCTTGCTGGCTGAAAACACATTTGCGTGTTTAGATAGTATAATATAGCGGAGCACTTCGAAATAATGCGAGAAAGTGTGTGCTCTACCAGCCCCTCTAGTTTGCCTTTCCGAAAAGGGAAAACTCCTTTCTTCATTCCCTGTCGTCCGTGGCACCTGTCTTCATCCGCCCCTCCGTATGTAGAATGTGATACTTACGCTCATACTTCTTTTGCATTGCAGGTCGAGCGACAAATACAAATGCAAAATCAGATGCGAGAACGGGCGACTGCAGTGCAGATAGCAAGAGCTCGTGATCTCGTAAACTGGATTGGATCATTCTACACACTCGCTGCGTTAGGGATAATTGTGGGGTGCGTCTTCAGTAAATTGCTCCAAACTAATTTATGCAATACCACAAACCCCAGAGTTTAATTCACTGTGTTGAAGAGCATGTAGGGTTGTCAGACATCTAAGTTTTCCCTGTCTATTAGGGATGCAAGCGTGCAGGGTACGCGCCCGCCCTTTGAGCATGATATTGCCAAGTCCGAAATTGTCAGTCGCAAGTTGGCAATGTCAAAAATAAATGAATAAAATTTCATTAATTCGTATTGGATCAGCCGAGTGTACTATCTAATACGGAATGAGGTCCATTCGGTACGGAGAACAATGAAGGCTGTTCTTATTAATGTTCAGGAAATAAATTGAATGCTTAGTAAAATTCAACTTTCTCTTGTATAAATCTACAAGAAACGTTAAACTAGGGTACAACATATACTTTCTAGTATTAATTTCAACGGTTCCATAATATTACAACTTCGCAAGTTTTGTCCTACTAGCATTTCACCCTTCTCTTGAAAACTCTTAAAGCAATGATGCCCAAGCGATTTGAAAAGATTTAGAACTTTAACTTGGAAAATTCAAATGACTTAATGCAAATTGCACTTCTGTAATTGAACTCAGTGTATCGTTCCCAATACTAACAAACATGTTCAAGAAAAGAAATTAGTGATGCTACAAATGTGCGTACTTTCTTAACACTACACTGAACTCAATATCCCCGGCTCTTATAAAACTAGTCGATTCTCGCATTATTTTTTGCCGTTTTGCAATTTTCGAAGATATAGACATTTTAATAAAAACGAGACCTGCATCTATTTTAAGTGTTCTTTAGATTATGCGAAGATAAAGTTTAAGTAGTGGTGCTACAACAGCATATACTTTATCACATTATTTCTAAAGTTGCAGTTTTAGAAAATACGGGCAACAAAACATGAATCAACAAAAATGAGACCCGCGCCATTCTCTTAAGCGTATCTTCTTCTATCCGTGGAAAAAGTTTACAGAAACAATTTTTGAGCGGTTTAGATCGGGGAATATCAATTTTTGAGAAATCGCCAAAATGGTTTAGAAACTAGCGTGGGTCACAGGCGAGCAAACGGACGGTCAAACGGGCGGAAAGACGGCAGAAAGACTGGCGGACAGACGGGCGAACAGACGGACGGACAGACGGACGGACAGACGGGCAGATAGACGGACGGACGGACTGACTTTGTTGTCATTCGATTTTTCGGCACCAACGACCCACACAACCTGAATTCTGAATACACAACGTATTAGAGGAAGTAATTTACTACATACGGGAACAAGATTTATCCATTTTACTTTTTTCGGCGAAAGATTACAATACTTTCTCTTCCTACGACGTAAAACGAGACGTAAAAAAGGAGACGAGAAAGCATACTGAAAGTATTGTCGCATTTGTTCGATGCATGATCTCTATCAGTGCAGGTTTTTGGTTCCCTCAATTCGTGGTTTCGATATTGTGGGTTTGATCGTGGTATTGATAAGTTTTCTTCCCCTTCTAACTGGAAATACAGGTCGCTTATAAATATAAAGTTATAAATATATTTTATAACTTTTAACAGTTATAAATATATAAGTTATAACAGTTATAAATATTTTTTCAAAATGTTCACTAAAGTTTCTGCTTTTTCGAAATACGTTTTGCTAATCCTGTGTTAGTTGATAACTGCGGGATGAGAGATTTTTCTTTGAAATCATTTTAACTGTATTCCACATAGTCCTAGAGTTAAGATTTGAAAACCTATACATATAACTTTATGTAACTCTTGTTTAATTTTTACTGAGATGCTATTTAGTTTTGTTTCAAAGTTAATTTGCGTGAACATTGCAACATTCTACAAAGGTTATGTTTTTCTTTAATTAAATTTACCAGTGACTTTGGAAGCGGTGTATATTATTTGGTAAAATTCCTGATTTTAATAAAACTTTTTATAGCATTTTTAATTACGTTTTCGAGGGAGTTAATACAATTGTCTATTTTTGTTGATGTTTTATGGCCCGCAATTTGCTTGTGAATGTACGAAATTTTCACAATTTTTGCAGACGATTGGAATTTTAGACTCATAGCGAATTGGAACTCTTACAAAGGCATATATAAATTTATTAATTCGTAAAATTGCTTTGTTATTTTCATTATCAGTTTAGTCAACAGTACAGTAGTTAACGGTTTAGTTTCTCTTCCGAACAGCCTAACAACTTTTTGAACGTGAAAGGTTTTTAAAAGTTCGATAAATATTTCTAATTCTGAATAGGTATTTGGAATATATTTTATAGCTTCTGAAAAATAGTTTTGAGAGTAGGGTTAATGTGTGATGTTTGATTTTCTCTTGTTCACAAAATTTCTCTGTTGAATTAAATTTAATTTTTACCATACCTTTTTTCTAATTTAGTTGAAAAATTGTCTTCCAGTTCACTGAAAAATCGATTCCCGTTGATTGATAAGTAGGGGGTAGTCGAAAACTATGAACATAAAAGTGAGGTATTTTAATTATTTTTCTTCACTTTCTTCCCTTTTAGTTTGCGAATTTTCTTCGGTCATGTTTTGAAAATCTTGGTACTTATTATGAATTGGCACATTGTACACTATTTTTTTAAAACCACTATCTTCATCTGGCAGATCAATGTGCACAGGCTTTAGTCCTTTAATATTTGCATTATAATCACTAATAGACTGTTGACTCACTGATTGCTGCGGGTCTCACCATACCTGTTAACATCTGCGTAGCTAGGGCTTACTGAAGGTTGGTCAGTGTTCGTTTCTTCATCGAGCTGTTGGGCGGACTGTTGTGATATCTTGTGAAATTACCCCTGGGGTTCAATATCTTCCATCTGTGGTAGTGGGAATGGGAGCAGTCCTCTATCCATTACTGTGAACTGATCTGGTTTGTCACCATTTAGAAGTGAGCTGCTGACACCAATTGACCTCAAAGGTGGGGGAGCTTGTTGCGAACCTTCTGCTTAGGCTGCACCACTAATCTTCACTGAGCAGTAAAATATTTCCTTTTGCACACAATAAACAACACTGATGCACTGTTAGAAAAATGGGACAACAATATGTAGCGGGGCCCGTTTGAATTTGCTACTAAACACGAGTTGAGTGGAACTCCGCAACACAGTGATAAACGGAATGGAACGATGCTTACATCTTGGCGCGGAGTCTAGACTCGGACTTACTGACCATTTTTATAACTATCTATTTAAATAGAATAAAATTTGTTAAATACATTTTGGTAATATAAAAAATCAAATGCTACTACTTCTTACAATTTTAAAATGAAATCAATGATATAACCAAACAAGGGGGAGAAAAGAGCCCTCAAACCAAATCGATAATCGCAATACTCATACGAAAGAGAATAAAAAATGTAGATTCCCAAAAAATAAATACATTTTTCAAATTGATTTTCGGTGTGGTAACGTTAGAGTACTGTCTCATGTTTTTCCTTATAATGCGTGTCATAACATTCCTTAACATACATTTTTTCACTTTTTTAAACCATGTAGACCACTGTGAAAATAATTAAAAGAATTTTATAAGATAAAAATTTGGAATTCGCGCCAAATTGTAATTGGAAAAAATTTGCACTGATGTTTAAACAATTTATATTTAAATTATTGAAAAGTCTCTCTTACCAGCATGATTTACAACGTTTTGCTGACAAATGTTTGTTTTCATGTGGAAAGGATATTATCGAAATAAAATAATCAAACCCCTTTTGTTTTTAGATTTATGTATTGTTTCTTAACTAAATCAAAGTACTCTGTTTTAGGTATATTAATCATTCATGATAAACATGAAATATACCTCAAATTACTCCGATGTAAGTTATTAATCATTGACAATTCGACAATCATAGACAATTAACCATTGTCATTGTCTTGTTCAATAACTGGGATCACGCTTTCGTTTATAAACAGTATACTCAAAATTTTTGATGGGTTAACTATTTTCACCAAGTATGGAGCGCGGGCCAAATAAAAAAAATGATATCAGGTATGTAGGAGGAGCATCCTAGGGTGTGACTTCCGTTCGCACTTTCACAATAATATTGTTTCACTCTCGTTATGAGAGCTTTCCATGGTTACACTTTCCATGATGGCGAGAGAGGGTGGGCTCCGCCGGTGCACCGATTTTTGCTCGTTTTGCACCAGTTTGCGTCACGAACCACACGGACACATCACAGGCACTTCGTTTGAAACGCCACACTAGACGTTGGGCGCTACGTTGCAAGGGGAGCGAGAAGTATTGAGAAATATTTTGAAAGTGGTGTAAAGTGACAATTTTTATGGTGACCAACCAAAAATAACATGATGAAGGTGTAATTGAAATAAAAGATGCAATATTTAAAAAAAGAATGCTCTGTTTCAGCGACTTGTAACTCTGATAAGTTTGGCACTTAAAATTCCCGTTTATATTATGACTAAGCTTTGGGTTTTTGCATATTTTCTTTTTTCCTTCAATGGAAAATTCAGTTTTTTAGTTTAGTTATCCGTTTTGAGGTATTACGAGTATTATATGAAAATTGTATAGTGCCTATAAATTCCTATATATCACTGATAAATGCCCATTTTATGATTAATTGCCTAAATGTTATCTGTTTTAGTATTTATTGATCAAAGAGCAATTACCCTTAATACTTTTCGTAATAGTTCTTTTCTCGTTTTTATCCTGCAGAGTTCAGAGAAATCGAACAACTATCGATAAATCTATTCTGTGTCTTCTACCACCATTGCGAGTATTTCGTATTATGAAACACGTTCAAAATGGCTGGTGTAGTCAAGTTATTTTTTATTTCGAATTTTTAAACAATTATTTTTTTAAAACAGATTCCAATTTTTTCTTAAAATTTTGCCGCATGTACCAAAGCACGGTATAGAAATTGGTGCCAGTTCCATTCTTCGCGAAAACTGTATTTCGAAAATTGCGAAAAGTTAACATGGAAAAGTACAATTTTAAATTCAGAGGTTTTTGTCTTCAATGAAACTTGTTCAAAAAAATCTTTCGAAAAAGGCATGTATAAATTTCTTTAAAAAACTTAAAATTAATGCAAATCACTAAAAACAATTCTCAAAACCTACTACAAATGTTTGCTTCGATTTTTCCCACGGACAGAAAAAGGGACACTTAAAAGAATAGCTCAGATCTCATTTTCGTTGAACTTTGAGAATTTTTGAAAATGGAAATTTTTAAATATTTTTTTAGATAATTTGCGACAAAGTATGTGCTGTTGTGACACCACTAACATTTGTGTTATGCATGGCAATTAAAAGAAATCATATAATATTTTCATTTATGTCAAAATTAAAGATGTGAGAAAAGATCATATTGTGCAGCATTATAGTATCATCTTGCATTTAGTGAAAAACAAAAAGGTAGCTACTGCTATTCTGCATTTTTGTCAGAATTGCACAACAATAAAAGGAACGATTTCTAGGATATTGGTCAGAACAATGATAAAAGCAAATATTCCATGAAGGTAACTATGTTATGTTTACTTGACAAACTTTCTACACAACTAAAGAAGGATAAGAAAAATGAAAATTGCCATTTTAAATATCTATTTTACACTTTCAAATTCCTATTTTGCCTATCTATTTTAACAGTTTTCGTGCCAATAAATCCCGGCTTAATAATGACCCAAACTGGTGCCTGAAACTCATTGTCTCAAGTTGGATACGTTGCCCAAGAGCCCATCCATCTTTTTCCGCCATGAATATTCTATTTGAGTTTAGTAGATAATCGATATAACACCTATAAGATTTGGAGTTCATATGTCATGATTGAACCTGTGTTTAAATATTGGTAAAAATAATTAAAATCACGTTTTGGCGCGAATTTCAAATTTTTAAACTGATTAAATTGGTTTTTAATTATTTTGCAGTATCGTCCACATTATTTAAGAATCTGCAAAAATATACATTATAGAAATTTATGAGACATATTCTAGGGGGAAAACCGAGACTTCACTCCGACGTTATCACGTCGAAATTAATTTCAAAAATGTATCTATTGTTTGACTTCGAACATGGTGTTAAAATTATTTGACAAAAATACCATCAAATTTAACTATTGTTCACCGTCTCTGCAATTGTTTTCAATCTGATACATGCAATAGTAGCTGAGAAAAAATATGAAAACGTTTCTCATTTAATCTGTGCACAGATTGCCCTAGGAGCCTATATCCTTTAAATAAAAAATAAAATCTGTGAAAAATATATACATAAGTATATTATAATTAAAATGTGTTTACAATTGTACGTAATAATTTGTAATTGACGTTTGGGACAGGTATCTTATCATTTCTTCAGTGACAATCATACAAGGTGGTAGTCAACTACCACCTTGTATGATTTTCATTTTCTAAGTATACCAATGTTTTCTGTCGGGCATCTTCTGTCTCTTCATGAGAAGCAACTTTTTACAGCTCAGATTTCCTCAGTCAAATTTGCCCCAAAATTTCATTTTTTATCTCTTATGAAATGTCAATAATGGAGGAAATGAGTTTCACATTTTAGGACTGCATATAGAGCCTTTCACTTCCTTGTAATATTCATCTGGGTTTTCAAATTGGAATAAATCCTAGGAATTCAACTTTAGAAGAAGCGTAATTTCACTTCTGCGGACATATTCGTATTAATAGATATTGTCGTGACAATTTAACTTTTACTCCTTACGTGATGTAGTGATACACCTTCATTCCGGAAGTAAATGAGACATTCCTTCGTAAGATGTTGATAGAAATAAGCGGGGGTGACCACTCCTCTTTAGTGACCTGCCTCCGGAGTACGCTATCAGTACAATTTATGAGTAGATATAAAATCTTAATACTTTTCTCGTAAAAAAATACCTTTGTTTAGCTCTATTTCAATTAATGAAATTCAAACTTTGAAGTTATTAGCATTATGTTATCATTTCTTCCCTTTTTTTCAGTTTCCGTCGTACCAGGAAGCCGATTGTATTTGTGCCCCTACTTCCTCTTACCTTTGTAACTGCCTATCACATAGATATGGCGTATGGGAACAAGTTACACAGATTAAGAGGTATGTAGTTTCTTTCAAGACACACTACATGAAGCAAATATACCATTTATACTTATTTTCACTGCATTATTATAACGGAATGGCTGAGTCCGATTAAAATATATGAATCGCAGAAAACTGAAAGGTTAGATGTCACGTTTTGCCGGTTTTGAGTCAGCAGTGGCAAACTTTTCTTAAAATATAAATTCAAATTCAAGTTCGTTGTGTGTGACTTCTGTTATGTCTGTAGAGTGTCCTTCAACTGTTAATGTTAAGAAAAATGTTCTGTGTCCGGAACTTAGAACCTATTTACTTGCTTTTCAACATTTGAAGCTCCTGGACATCTAACGTTCTTGTTTTCTGGGATACATATGTTCTATGAATCTCCGTTTTCCAAACATTAATAAAAGTTTTGAACTGAAAAGAATGAACTATTCATGTTTTAAAAATATTGTACATGACATTATTACAAGGTCTAATTTTAATGAGCAGATTCAATTAAGAACAAAACTTATACTAGATTATCTATCGGACTGTCAATTAATTACTATTACATAGGTTTTTGTCTAACAATGTCTGGACCAAAACATACGAAACAATATGTCTACCTCCAATAATGTAATTAGTGGAGTCTGTCAAAAAAAAAAATAACTTGAGGAATTTTTGAAAATTCAGATATTTCAATGAAAATCAGACAACCACAATTTTTAGAAGCATCTCATCATATTAATCTATTCGAGCAAAACACTGGGAGAGATGGCTGAGGGCATCAACTGCAGTGCCTCTGATCGGGAGGTTCTATGTTCAATTCCCAACGGCTGCTGGATTTTCAACACTTGCTTGAGAGCTAGGTCGAATTCAGTCACTGTCTAGAGGAGAAATCTAGCGACCGGCTGCTCTGATCGCTAGTTTTCCGAGATTTTCCGATCAGCACCAGGCGAATGCCGGAGCAGTACCCTAACAAACGAGCCACGGACCGCGCGCGATCTTTCCTCCTTCTTCCTTGTTCTATCCTCTCCCCCTGAAACACACAATTTCACGCATTTCACAAGTCCACATGTCGGGTGTCTATCCTTCCTCTCTCTTCCTCTTGTCCGTAATTACACACACACTTATATGTACTACACTACCACACGTGCCGGGAGAGCGGTCGGAAGTTAAGATTGTCCCGGCTGGAGCAGTGCTCCGCTGCTAAGAGATACCTGGTTGGGGAAAACCCTGATAGCCGACGAGAAAGTCGGCGCAGATCTCACCATCCAGCATGGGAAGATCACCTCCACCTCCGGAGGGAGGGGAACTTCCCTTAAGAGACTAATGACCTTGGCAGTTGACGCGCCCGGAATCACTAATCAGACAATAAATCTAGATGACATTTTTTGAGGATTTGATGAGATGATTAGTTCTTCCACCATTTTCGCTTTCATTTGAATTGATTTAGTCGCAATTATATTATTTGATTATTCTAACTGGTGATTTTCGTGAATTGGGATCGCCTGTTTAAAAGATGAAGGCAAATTGGCAACATTGGTTCCCTCCACTTACAAATATCAACTTCCAAATTCTTTTAATTAAATTGATTGATTTACTTCAAGCCTCATTCACTTTTAAATCGCTTTTACTGTTTATAACTAAAGACTTTTCTTTAGAAAGGAAATTACTAGGGTCTTTTACTCCATAGTATCTCTATTAAAATCCAACCAATACAAATTTTCTAAAAAATATATCTTTTTGGAGTTTACTCTCCTTTCCAGGTTATATTTTATTACCTTAGGACTAGCAGTCGTTCACAACCAAAATATAAACATGTAAGTGTCTAGGCTGAACCTAATTAGAAAATATTAAAGTAAGATTATGTAAATTTTGTGTTTCAGTTGAAGCAGAGAACATAATGCAGAGTGAGTCTGATCTTCTGGCCTTGCCATGTGGCCTCCCAACGACTTCTTCTATTGATCAAGCTCGTCTTAAAACTCATGAGTGACAACACATTTATGGCTGAAAATATGTGATATTAATGAATATCAGTATTGAGCAACATTGGATCTATGGCAAGAAAACTCGAAACGATGGCTAGAAATAATTCTTTGAGATGGCCTTGGAGCAAATGTTGCAAAGCCTTCGATTTTAATAGGAATATAGTATATTCAAAATATTTCGGTAAATAAGTCAACATTTATGAAGTAATGTATTTTAAATTTGATTTATTGTAAAATTCGTTTAAGTTTTCACCATGTAATATATTAATTTCTCAGCTACAAAAAAATCCATTTCGAACTTTCACTAATTATTATCACTCAAACATGATTCATGCGAAACATTACCAGAGGTCTTTCATTATTTTGATCTAATGAATGTCTCTGTTTTTCAATGAAGTCAATTCATACAACTACGAAAAAAATCAGATTTATTTTCAAATGGCAAGACATGTTGCAGAAATCTGCATTGAAGGTGAATATTCTTGTTGTGGCAGTTCTATATTCAAATATTATATATCCTTAATCGTTTACGATCTTCGAATTAGTTTGCAGGAATTTTCATTCACCATTCTTGCCGTTTGTCTCCGAGATGGTTATGCCATAAAAATAGTTAACTGCGACTATATTGTTGCTCAGCTTTATATTCAAATAAAGAAGAGACGTTTTATGCATGAACCAAAAAGCAACTGCCAGTAGCGACAAATTATGTCATGGAAACTAAAATTCTTTTCATAGTTATTACTTTTTACATGGCTTTATTTTACTTCTATCACGTTGTATGTAATTTAACATTTATATATAATAAAACTGATGTAATATATTTTTGTTCGTATTGTTTTTGAACTTTGTTCATGTAATTTTCAGATTTACGTAGTTCAAGAGAGTCGGAAACCTGTAGTCTGGGATTTCAACATCTGGGCAGACGATTAGTAGGATCATATATGTCAAATAACAGATTCAACGATGGTTGGAGATATACAGATGTGTCTCAATAAATGTTCCAAACTTCTAGGATAAATAAAAAAAGGCGAATATATTGTGCCACTAAACGTACGGTAAAAATTTCATATAACGAAGTTATATATACCCGCATATTTATTACCTAAAAGTGTTAGAAATATACCAGCATTTTTGGCGTATAAAATACGAAAATATGACCATAAATATGATTGTAGGTATATAATTTTTAGTAGCGCTGCAAGAAGTGAGGTGGACAGGCACTGGTTGTGTGAAAAGAGGAAAGTTCGCATTATACTTCAAAGTGACAGAATGAAGTTCCGGACAAGCTGGAACGGGATTCCTAATAAGGAAGGATATGCAAAGTCATTTGATTGGTTGTACTCCAATTAATGAAAGAATAAGTAAGGTACAACTAAAAGGCATATTAATGACATCGCCCTGATAAACGTGTATGCACCCACTAACGATCAAAATACTGAACAGAAGGAGCAGTTGTATGATGCACTGGAGCAGAACATGTTTCAAAGTCCGATATTCTGGTGCTGCTTGGGGATCTCAATGCACAGTTAGGGAAGGAAAAAACGTACCGAAGAACTATCTAGTTTACACACAATCCATGAAACCACACACCAAAATGGTGAGCTACTCTGTGATTTAGCAGCAGTTAACGATTATGTGATTATGAGCACACAATTCAAACATAAACCTATACATAAAGGAACATGGCTTTCCCCGACAGAAAAACAGTGACGCAGATTGATCACGAATTAGTAAACAAAAATAAAATAGATCTAATAGAAGATGTACGTGTATTACGTTGTCCTAACATAGACTATGCTAAACCTAAAGTTACCAAGAGCAAAGAAACAAAGGGAGAAAGGTTATATACAAAGAAACAAAGGGAGAAAATACCATCATGAAATAGCATATTGTCGCTTATTAGGGTAACAATTAGCAAATAGAGTTCCCATGGATGACGCTAACGAGAATTGGAACGAATTGAGTAAATTAATACAGAATACTGCCACGCAAACAATTGGAGTAGAGGGTAAAAGATCAGAAAACGCATGGTGAGATGAAGAATGTCACATTTCGGTGCAAGCAAAGTACAACGCCAGATCCAAATACCTGCACTTCAAAACTAGAAGTGCATATGAATTATACCAGGAGGAAAGAAGGAAAGTAAACAGTCGGTCAAAGAAAGAAAAGGAGTTGGATAAATGGGAAGGTAAGTGAAATACATGAAAGTTTTAAAAGAAATGAAGTTAGAAAGTTCTTCTCTGAAATTGGTGGACTCAAATTTATTTGAAGTAACTACGGTATGTACAGAGATAAAGAGGGAAACGTTCTAACACAAGAAATTCAAATACTGTACAAATATAAATAATATTTTATAGAAGAGTTGACCGTCATACCTTGAGAACATTGAAGATAATAACGAAGACAGTGAAGAAAGAATAATAGGCGAAGAAAGCGAAGTAACTGAACCTTGATATAAAAATATGTTACATCATTAATAATCTAAAATCGAATAAGGCGGCTGGTTCAGGCCCTATAATTCCAGAATTAATTAAATATGGAGGATGGACTTTAAAAAAAGAGATCCACAAACTAATAACATACGTATGACGAACAGAGAAAATGCCAGAGCAGTGGAGCGATGGAATAATATTACCTATTTTCAAGAAAGGATATCAATATAAGTGCAAACACTATAAAACGATAACATTGCTAAATGCAGTACATACAATATTTGAGATTTTACTGAATACCAGATTGTCATTGATTCTCGAAGGAAAACTACACGACTGCCAAGCTGGTTTTAGACCAAACAGATCTACAATAGATTATATTTTCACATTGCGCCAAATGTACGAAAAATATATAGAGCATGACATCGAGTAATATAATATGTTCGTGGATTACTCGCAAGAGTTTGATTCTGTTTTGAAACACAAGTTATTTAAATGTATGCTGGAGTTTGGAGTACCAACAAAACTACAATCATCTCACGTTGGTGGGTACCAAGGTGATAGGTTAGGATAAACCAGCAAACAAGTGAAGAGTTCTATACCAAATTTGGAGTACAACAAGGAGATCCCCTATCAGCGATTGTTCATCATGATCATGGATAAAATATTAACACAGGTCGATATAAAAGGGAATATATCAACACGATTGAAACAATGCCTAGCCGACGCAGATGATGTGCAGCTGGTTGCACGTACTAAGAAGGCGCCTAAGCAATTATCTCAGGCGTTAAAGGAGAACTCAATTCATTATGGGCTAAAAATCAATGTTGAAGAAACAAAGTATATGAGAAAGTTACCCAATTAACTGCAATTCACATTACCAATAGAGGCTATGAAGAAGGTAGCTCTTATAAGTATCTGGGAGCAATTTTTACTTGCAACAATGATGTGGAAGAAGAAATAAAAGCAAGAAAAGTAGTGGAGAAAAGAGCTTTTTTGCACATTTGCAGCTATTTAAAAGTAAAATGTCAAAGGGCGCAAAACTAAGACTGTACAATATAGTGATGAGACCAATCGTAACTTATGCCGCAGAAACATGGACTAAAATCAAAGGATGCGCAGCGTCTTGCGGTTTTTGAAAGACGGATTATGAGAAGGAGATTTGAACCTGTTAAAATGCCCAATGGAGACTGGCTGATTAGAAACAATTTCGAACTGGAAATTTTATAAAAAAACATAAAAACATACTAAATTTTATTAAAGTCATGAGATTATGTTGGCTTGGTCATCTTAATAGGATGTCGCCAGACAGAATAGTGAACAAGATCTTGAATGCAGTGAATGCTGGAATCCAGTGAGCACCAGGAGAATAGGCAAGACTAAAAATAGATGGAAAGATGATGTCAAAAACGTCAGGAAATTGAGATTGAAAATTGGATCGAGTACTCAGAAGAATAGGGAAAACTGGAAGAAGAATAAAAAGAAGAAGATGGAGGAGTAGGAGAGAAGGAGGAGAAGAAGAAGAAGAAGAAGAAGAAGAAGAAGAAGAAGAAGAAGAAGAAGAAGAAGAAGAAGAAGATAACATAAATCTATTATTCGGTCTATGATAAGGTATGAGTTATGGGTGAACATGGGCGGTCAATGAAAATTTGAAGAATAAAGCTAACACCTTTGGAAGGAAAGTCTTAATACGAATTCTAGACCTCGTTCAAGAAAACGGCAACTGCAAGAAATAGCAATTGTATAAGGAGTCATCTGAGGCATACTAGGCAAGATTACGATGAGCAGGACACGCGGTGAGGATGGAAGATGATAGGCTCCCAAAGAAAGCGTTAAATGGTAAATTGTATGGCAGTAGACCAACGGGAAAATCAAACAATAGATGGGAAGATGCCGTGACTAGGAAAGCAAAAGAATTATTGAGAGTACGGGTATGGAGAAGAGCAGTAGCTGAAGACAAGGGAGGATGGGGGAAATATATTCAGGAGGCCACGGTTCAATTTGGATTGCAGAGCCACTGAAGAAAAATAAAAGATTTTCATGCAAAATTACGCGAAAAGTATTCAAATTTTCGAAAAATCGTACATCATACCTTATTTTAAAATCTATCTCTAAGGAACGGATTTCATTAAGGACAAAACTTTCTATCTTTAATATTTTAGTTGTAAGAAGACTCCGAAAAAAATTGAACTTTTGCAATTTTTAAAAAATAAGGGTTTTCAATGAACATTAAACCTGCGCCATTCCCTTAAACGTCCTTCACATTATCCAACAATTTTTTTAAAAATCAAAACGATGGTCTTTGAAAATTTTGAAAATGTCGCAGAGGCATTTTGTTAAGTATTCCCCAAAATTAAAATATCAGTTTAAAATTCAAGGGGCCGTGACATCAGCCAGATCGATAGGAGAATATAAATTTTGGAAAAAATTGGGTGAACGGTTTTACTGCTAGCACTGTTCATAGTCGGTCAAACAGACGGACGGACAGTCAGACATTTTGCTGTCATTCGATTTTTAGGTATCAAGAAACCACAAAACATGGATTCTGGCTACACCACATGTTACAGGATTTCCCTCCCTAAATTTAGCAACTGGATTTATCAACTTTTCATAGGCTAAATTGCAATTGTCTCCATACATATAACACCAAAATGAAATACAAAGCTAAATCACAATATAAAGTTGTTGTTTAATAATTTAATGTTCATTAACAATTTGCAATATAGTCATATAGCATGCAACTAGTAAAATTAATTTTACTAGTAGTAAGGAGGTTGAAAGTAGAATGCAAATGAGCTAATTGTATGAGTTTTAGTGAAGTATGTGTTACAGTGAGTTTTATTACAAGAGAATTTTACATTTACAATTATTATTTATTTTAAACAAACGTTTAATAAATGGTTCTTGCTGATATATTCATGAATGGTAATATATATGTAGGTACATGCTATGCACTACCTTATTATTTCCTTTTAACAATGTAAATATCATTGTTTTACAGACTATTTCACTTATTATTAACGATATGGAACCGTTCGACCAAACGAATTATTCTTAAAAATTGTTTGATTGTGCGATATTAACACATTTCCTGGTAATACTTTGGTTTTATATGATACGAGAAATATTTAACCATTGTTTTGCACAGTACTCCTCTGACGTAATTCATTTCCTCTTTATTACTGTAAGTAACATAGCCTACATCTTTCGTTTAATTTTGCGGCGAAATGCAGAATTTCAATTTTATCCTTTCATATAGTACTATGCCATTTGTCATATTCTTGGAACAAATAGCATGTTGTGATTTATAGTATGTCATTTATCATTGACAGTACCGAGAACGAAATCTTCGATAAAGAAATGATCTGGGAATGATGAATTCTGTGAACTCGACCCAACTCTAACTTATTGTTTTAATTTTTTATCTTGACAGGAATGTGGAATATTCTATAGTTCAATTCGTACGATTTGCCCACGCACTTATTGACTGTACGCCGTGAACTTTCTTCTGATTGGCTTTGTCGAATGTTGGTTAAAATACCAATGCGTTGTGAACGAGGAATATACATACGTACTTCGTTTCGTTTATTTGAAGGGGTCGCCTCGATCGCGGTAATGTCGGCTAGTCGACGATAGCAATCATGGAGGTGGTGGGAGTGTCAAGATTAAGGGGTGTGACAGTTTGTTGGGGGGAGTGTTAAAATGTATATTTTATTGTGTTTGTGTGGTGCTAATTCGCGAATTATCATCGAACGCATGTAGAATTTGCAATGAATAATATATCGGTTTTGATGTGATCTATTGCTATATGCCGGAAAATGGCTTTGACTGCTTTACCCAATAACCCAATGAACTTCACCGAAAACCAACACGGGAATGCAATTTTAGAAAAACTTAAACAACAGAAGGAACAAGGAAGATTCTGTGATGTTACTTTGTATATAGATGGAAAGAAATATAAAGCCCATAGAAATGTATTAGCATCCTGTTCTCCATATTTTGATTCAGTGTTGAAAATGCACAAGACTGTAAAAGAAGGTTTGACAATTACCTGTCAAAATCCTGAAGTGTTCCATTGTCTTTTAAACTACATGTATACAGGCTCCATTGTGATAGACAAGAATAATGTGGCTGAATTGTTGAGACTTGCTAATCATTTTCTTGTTGCAAAGCTCAGGAACTACTGTGCAGAGTACTTGGATAGGTATCTAGACATAACAAATTGTCTCTCTGTAAGAGAGATGGCTGAAAAATATAATATGCCTTCACTAATGAAAGCAGCAACTCTATTCATACAAGTTAATGTAACTAAAGTTATATTCCAAGAGGAAATCCTTTACTGCCCATTACGAAAAATAGAAGCATTTCTATCGGAAAAGGTAATTCAGTTCAAAGTACCATGTACATCTTCAAGTGTAATGATATATGTTTAAGATTTAATTTAATCCCTATTCTTTTATAGAATTATTTCTTTTGTTGAATATATAGTAGTTTGAAATTACTAGTTGATAACTGCAAATTCACACATTTATAATCCAAGAAAATGTTAAGATGAAAAGATAATCAATTGGCAAATTTGTGTTGACTTATAAGAATAAAAAATCTCCATTGATTGTTTTTCCTGTAAAACTGCATTTCATTGTGTCTCAAGTGACTTAAGGTTAGATAATTGCTGGCTATGTTTACTTTGCATAATGTGGTATTCAATAAGATTATTATTTCTATCAGTGTAATTGGAGTAACTCAAGTTTGTGTCAACAATATTTCAAAATTTATTATTTTCTGAACATTAATCTCTCCTCTACAGGTTGTAAATTTTCTTTCGAAGTTCTTAGCATTGTAGTCTTCTGGATATTATGAAAAATGTTGCTAGTTACAATGCTCTAAAACATTAGAGTGATGATTAAGTGAATGTTTAGCTTTAGTTCTATTTCCATTGTTGACTAATGTTCTGAAACTTTCATAACAAGTCAGCATATATCCGTTAGATCTTGCTTTATTGATTTGTGAGTTACTGTGTTCATGACCAAAACAGAAGTTATTTAAAGACAATAAAAAATGCATAGCACAAAGAGCATTTGTTGCAATTGTCTCTTATGTCTTGTAGATAAACATATTATTTTTGTTATATATTTAAGCGAAAGGATTACCTTTTCCAGTAATTGTAAACTGATGTAATGTAGGTTTATAGCCAACATTGTAGACAGACTGCTGCAGTAATGTGAGATTGTTTTGTGAGGTATTGGTATTTCTAGGATTTTTTTATGCTGATTATTGCTAATGGTACATACTAGGGTACATGTTGACTGTTGGTGTGTTAAGTTTCCACTAATGGGTAGGATGTACAGGTAATGGAGTAACACCATTCGGTTTCGCTTTTCTGTGAACTCTTCTCTTCCATTTGTGGCAAGATTTATTCAATTTTATGGAAATAATTGTAGAAGTGGAAGAATTGATTTCATTTTTCTCATTCACATACGTTGAATTTCTATCTTATATACATAAATAGTGTGCATACATGTTTCATTGTATTATAAATATTGTATAAAATGACATTGTTCAATTTTGTTTTTGTTTACCACATGAACTATTCTTTTTGCCTTTAGTTTGTGTACAAGTTACTTATAATAGTTATATTTTCAAAGGAAAATAGTAGTTAATTCGTTTTTTAGAGAAAATATATTTGAATTCATTTGGATGGCAGTTGTTTATTAGTTAAAACCAGTTTCCAAATTTTTTTGGTAAATAATTAACTTTCAATTTTTTAATTAAACAAAGTTGATATTGACTTATGATTTTTCATGTGTATTTTAGTGACTCGACTCCTTTTTACCTCATTTTACATATTTAAGTATTGAGACATGTTTTCTGGCATTTGTTATGCTAATCTTCCAGTACCTTATCATGGGGGCAGAAATGATGTGAATCTGTTTGTACTACATAAACATTCGACATTTTTAAGCTTGCCAACAAAAAGTAATCGTCACACTAATAGTAAAGTAATGAGTTGGGTGGCAGATATGTTTCAATGGTAAATCTGATATTTTCTTTACACAATTTACATTTTATATTTTATATTTTTAATTAAATAATGTGAACTGACTTAATAAAGTATTACTTACTTTTCATAGCAATAGTTACTGTAAATAACATGAACTAAAGCTTGTCTCCTCCTTTGATGTTTTCATTGCTGTCAATCTCTATTAGTTTGTGGTGTAATTGCTAGTATATTCTAATTAGATAGTTTTGAAAGTGAATGACTGAGGGTAATCACGACGAACAGACAAAATTGGACGTGATGATAGTACCCTGTTATGTATAGACATGTTATTTTGCCTATAAGAGAGTGTTCGTATTTAAAAATTAAAACTAAATGGTATTTGTCATAATTTTGAAATTAAGTAATTAATTGACCTAAATTTACCTGGTTTCTACGAAAATTGGATGTAATTCTTAAAATACAGATATGCATCATATTAAGAATTGCAATTTAATTTTCTACAAGTGCTTCTATTCATTTTCAAAATTAATATAATTTTTCGTTCCTGCAATTACTTCAGTATTTTTAGTTTCAAAGATAAATTTGATATGCAACATTTTGAACACTTAAGAATTTTTAAGGATCTTCTGTTTCAGTTCTTGATGGAATCCTCTTTGTTCCACACACGTTGCTATCTAATGATAGTAATTTATGTTTGCGTATTAATTTTCGTTCTGTGGAACATTTTAACTTTCATCCTTTTTTATTTTGCAGATTGATGAATTTGTAGGTTTGAATCCATTCACTTCTCATCTTTGAGCATCAATCTGAATGTAGTCCAGCTCTGAAAATGAAAATGTTAATGTGAGGTCACCCTATCATATTGGAGCTTTCCTAGTTTTGGTACACCATTTGCAATTTCAGCTGCACTGAAGAACTTTTGTTTTAGGAATTATTATTTTGTGTATGGATTAGCTTTTTATGCATGATTTTTGGAGAAAATGGTGCCCTGATATCAAGATAGTATTTAAATAAAAAGAAGCTTAATAATAACTTTAAAGTGCCATGTAACTATGAGCTTGTATTTTCTACACAGGCTGGGTAACCAGACTATGACTTTGAGCATGAATATATGCTGAATTGCATTGCATAGCCGAATGCTTAAAAGTTAAAAATTGAAATGCCTGATCATTGTTTGTAAAGGTATGCATTTAATGAGATGGTTCTGTTTCTTCTGTTTCAGTCATGGTCTGTGCCCCACAGCATGCTTTTGGGCCTTATTGCTCGTTGGGTTATGCAGGATGTTAATGTTAGGGAGCGTAGCATGAGAGCGTTATTGACATTTGTTGACTGGCATGCTGTGGATGGAAATGCTATTACTGAGCATATTGATAGAGAACCCTTATATTCAACGAGTGAACTGTCCCTGTATTTTGTTCTACAGTCCCTTATGGAAAATAATCTTCTGTTCACTAAATATCAAGGTGTGTTTCAAGCACTCCAGGAAAAGTTAAATCAGGTGAGTTTATTTGATTTTCAAGTGTGTGATGTTGTAGTCTTTTCTGTTTTGACTTTCTCGCATCCTACATACATACTATAGAAAAAGTATTGTAATGCTGCAGCAGAGAACACTTGTTTTCTTTTGTTTTTTTGACAGAAACGTATTGTGGGACCTTGATATTAAAAGTGTGGATAAATCTTATTCCTGAATGTAGTAAAGTACTTCCTCTAACACATTGTGCAGTCAGATTTAATGTTTTGTGGTGCCTTTTTACAGTATCCAGAGGAAACAAGAGGCTCAGGGTTGTTGATTCACATGGGCCCCTTATTTCAAAGAAAAGTTCTGCCTCCTTACTCATATATTCATTTCTCCCTGCATGCGAAATGACTTATAGTGGCTAATTTCAATTTGAAGCAAATATATTGTTTTTATTGATTTTGAATGAAAAAAATTCAGGGCGTGGTGAAAGTTGTGCCCCTTCCCCTCTAGGTGCCCCTATCTTCGTAGCAAAAAATTGGTTGACTGCAACATGTGTCTGTCTTAGTCAATGCTAGCACCTAATCCATTCAAACAATTTCCTCTAAAATTAATATTTTCAGATCGACCTGGAGAAACTTGAGGTCCTGCAAGTTTGAAACATATTGATTTTGAGGGTACTTGATATAAACCCTTAACAATATTTTGAAAATTTTCTCAAAAATAGCTCCAATGTTTTTGGCTAAAATTTTCCTTGGATAGACAAAGGATGATTGAAATAGTGTCATTTAAATTGAAATAGTGTCATTTAAATTGAAATAGTGTCATTTAAATTGAAAT